TTATTATATGTTGTTAAATTCATTACTTGCAATGATATTTATTGAATCATATTATATAAAGATGCATTATTTTTAAATGAAATATGTAAGTTTATGATGCATTATATTGTATTAAATTACAATGAAATTTATTGTATAATATTATGTTAAAATACATGAATTTACCATAATATTTATTGAATGATATTATATAAAAATATATTAATTTACAATGAAATTTATTATATGTTGTTAAATTCATTACTTGCAATGATATTTATTGAATGATATTATTTAAAGATGCATTATTTTTAAATGAAATATGTAAGTTTATGATGCATTATATTGTATAATATTATGTTAAAATGCATGAATTTACCATAATATTTATTGAATGATATTATTTAAAAATGCATTATTTTACAATGAAATGTATACAATTTACGATGCATTAAAATGTAACAATTTATAGTGAAATTTATTATATGATGTTACGTTACAATGCATTGGTTTACCATAATATTCATTGAATGATATTACATAAAAATGTATTAAATTACAATGAGATTTATTGTATGATGTTCTGTTAAAATTCATTAATTTACGATAATATTCATTGAATGATATTATATAAAGATACATTATTTCAAAATGAAATATGTAAGTTTATGATGCATTATATTATATTAAATTACAATGAAATTTATTGTATAATGTTATATTAAAATGCATGAATTTACCATAATATTTATTGAATGATATTATATAAAAATACATTAATTTACTATGGAATTTATTATATGTTGTTAAATTCATTACTTACAATGATATTTATTGAATAATATTATATTAAAATCTTTTATTTTAGAATGAAATTTATTGAATGATATTATTTAAATTCATTGCTTTACAATGCATTAATTTATAATGAAATTGATTGATTGATTCATTCATTCATTCATTCATTCAATGATGTTATATTATGATTCATATTTTTTTACAATATTTTTGATTTCAATAATAATATATGTTAGGATGTATTGATTTATGATAAAAATTTATTCTATGAGGTTTTTAGAATTCATCTGCTTTTTTTTTATGAATTATATGAAATTATAAAAACCATGAGAATGTTAAAAAAGAATATGATTTATTATTGATTTATACCAATAACAAGATTGGGTATGTTGCTTCAAAAATTATCTTATTTATCTTGAGAAAGACTTGAACAAATAAATTTATAGTTGAAAGAACAATTCTAAATTAAATTTTCATAACAATACTTACATTGAGATAATGTTAGAATAAGATATAGATGATTTATTTCAGATGAAATAGTTTTTTTCTTCGTTGTTGTACACATTTAGTGTATAATGTTATTATGTTAAGTCTATGTTATTTATGTTAGAAGATAGATGTCAATTTATATCACAGCCTTATCAGGTGGCTTCGTAACCTGATCCAGAGAGAGATTCTATTCGTCATGGAATGGCGAAAGCAGTGTAGTGCTCGGGAAGGCCTTTAATGTACGTAGGTCCCTGCCGTCATTATGTACGGTACACCTATGTACATTGCCCTACCAGTCCGGCGTGGTCCGCTCTGTGTGTACCCGTTTCATACCTATAGGGCCTCTCCCTGGTCGCGCGCGCGCGCGTACGCGTGAAAATGAGCCTAGAAAAGTCGGGAAGTGAAAAAGAATCAAAACCAATTTATTGAGCAAGTAAACAAAAAAAAATTGATTACATTTTCTTTCGAATTCTTTCAAATGTTTCATTATATTCCAAAAGATGAGGATGAGTTGAAGGTAATTTTTCTTGAGCTATTTCAACTGCTTGTTGAATATTTTTCATTGCCATACTATATTTTCGTGTAGCCAAATATAATTTTGCCATATTATGATATATAACAGCTAAATCAGGATGATTTTTTGGTAATTTCTTCTCACGTATTTCTAATCCTTTTTCGAAATATGTCAATGCTGTTGAATAATCTTTCATTTCACGATAAGTTTCACCTAAATTTATATATGTCGTTGCACAGTCCAGAGGATTACATTGAACATTTTCTTGAATATTTAATGCTTTTTGATGAAATGCAAGTGCCTTTTCATAATTACCCATTAATCGATGAACATCACCTATATTACTATAAGTAATAGGTTGATTAGGATGTCTTTCAGGTAGCGTTTTTTGAGCTATTGCGAGACACTTTTCAAAATTATCCAGTGCCTTTGAGTAATCTTTCATACTGCGATGAACTCTTCCGAGCCAACTATATGTTGAAGCAAAAGCTGGATTACCTTCTTGAAATGCTTGTTGTTTAATTTGAAAAGCACTTCGAAGAGCCTTAAGAGCTGCGGCGTAATTACCCATTCGTTCGTAACATGCTGCAAAACTCAAGTGACTACCAGCCAAATCGGGATGATTCGGAGGCAGAGCTTTTTCGTATATTTTATGTGATTTTTCGTAAAATTCAAGTGCTTTTGAGTAGTCACCCATGGCGTTATACACTCCACCAATGCTGCTGTAGGAACTAGCCAAATAAGGATGATTCGGAGGCAGAGCTTTTTCGTATATTTTATGTTCTTTTTCGTAAAATTCAAGTGCTTTCGAGTAGTCACCCATGTTGTTATACACGAGGCCGATGCAAATGTAGGAACTAGCCAAATCGGGATGATTCGGAGGCAGAGCTTTTTCGTAGATTTGATGTGATTTTTGGTAAAATTCAAGTGCTTTCGAGTAATCACCCATGTCGTTATACACTCCACCAATGCTGCTGTAGGAACTAGCCAAATGAGGATGATTCGGAGGCAGAGCTTTTTCTCTTATTTTATGTGATTTTTCGTAAAATTCAACTGCTTTCGAGTAGTCACCCATGTTGTTATACACTTGACCAATGTTGTTGTAGGATATAGCCAAATGAGGATGATTCGGAGGCAGAACATTTTTGTAGATTTTATGTGATTTTTCATAAAATTCAACTGCTTTCGAGTAGTCACCCATGTTGTTATACACTTGACCGATGCAAGTATAGGAAGTAGCCAAATCGGGATGATTCGGAGGTAGAGCTTTTTTCGTGATTTCGAGATCTTTTTCGTAAAATTCAAGTGCTTTCGAGTAGTCACCCATGTTGTTATACACTTGACCGATGCAAGTATAGGAAGTAGCCAAATCGGGATGATTCGGAGGCAGAGCTTTTTTCTTGATTTCGAGATCCTTTTCGTAAAATTCAAGTGCTTTCGAGTAATCACCCATGTCGTTATACACGAGACCGATGTTGCTGTATGTAGCAGCCAATGAAGGATGATCTTTTGGTAGAGTTTTTCGTTTAATTTCGAGAGACATTTCGTAAAATGAAGCTGCTTCTTTGTATTGTCCTTGATCTTCTTTCAACCATCCAAGCTGGTGATAGATATGTGCTCTAGCACTGTCGTCGGATGCCTGTTCTAGTAGTGTCATGTACAATTCTTCGGCCTTGTTGAATTGACCTATTTGGAGTAGCAAAGAACCCAGTCGATACCATCCAGTGCCACCTGAAGATTCTTCTCGTATACGATCGGTTAATTGACGAAGTTGTTGGTCATCATCCGACGTAAGTTTAAGATCCACTTCATAAAGTGGACTTTTCTTATCAATTTTTCGAACTTCACCGATTCGAAAGACGGTGTGCATGGAGAAGAGAATTTCCTCTTCTTTTGCGAAATCACTAACCTCCTTGATGGAGGCAAAAGGAGTTGATGAGACCATGGGATCGATGGCCATTTGAAAGAGAACGCCAATCATTCCTTCTGTTCCTAAGGCATCTCTGGCGAAGCCGAGGGAAATATCACGATCTACACTGGTGGATAAAAAGTTATTGAATGAAATGAGTCCACCTTTGCTTTTGACGAGTTTTTCGTGATCTACCTTTGGTAATCCCTGCCCGCGATAAACAACAAATGTCTTACCATGATATTGACTGACTTGCTTGGCATGTAAACTTTCAATTTGTCGATGAACATCACATAGATAAAATCCCATTCGGATG